CAAAGGGTTTGCAGCGATCCTCGCTTTCACGCGCACGGCCGGGGAAGGCCACCCGAGGCCCGGCTGGAAAAGAGCCAACTTGAGTGATGAAGCCAAGTACTTTCCTATTCTTCTTTACCCACTGCTTTTCTTCTGTCATTCCTCAATTTTGTGCTTCATCTATGGTGATGATTCAGAAGCACAATAGAATTTAGACATAGCTGAATGTTGATGTTCTTTGCCAAAACCTAGTCATTCATTAGGCTATAATATTATTGCTACATTAGAGTTCGATTTCTATTATGTAATTATTTGGGATGGGAAAGTTGTGGGTTTCATTTCCTTTGTGTTTTTCTATGTTTCATTGGCAATTTGTGGGGAAAATGAACCATTATTTTCCTTTCTTCTCACCCACTGCTTTTCTTCTGCTCGTCGGCAAAGTCGATGCTACCCCATGGGGTAGTGCCCCCATGGGGTTTTTAGCCACACATTCACACACACCCACACCCACACCCACATGGGTGTGTGTGAAATTTGTGGCTAAAAAGCACATGGGGCACTACCCACATCGGTAGCATGAATTCAACCTTGTTGCTATCTGTTTGTGTGGAAATTGTAGTGTGATTAAGAGTTTGTTGCCAAAATCAGAATACTTACAGTGACAGGCAATCACAATCATTTCTCAATCCTTTTTTCCTGTTTAAGTGTTTAATGCGTTAGCATCATATACCACTAAAATTATCCAGTCTTCAACATCGATGCGAAGATGTTGGTTAGACCAGAAATAACTTTGAACGAATCTTTAAAGAAAAGAGAGAAAAGTAAAAGCAGAAATACTTCCATGTTTGAGCAAGACCAGATAAAAATGCTCTTTTATCTTGTCTGTCTCATGTTACCTACACATTAGCTATTATTTTCCCTTTTTTTTCTTCATCTACTGCTTTTCGCTTTTCTTCTGTTTCGTTCTTGTTTTGTTTGGTTTTCGGTGTGATTAACAGCTTGTTGCCGAAATCAGAATACGTGTCGTGTCAAGTAGTCACGATTATTTCTAAACCATTTATTTTTCAATTTAAGTAATGACTTATCATCATATGCTACTATGCATTATTGAGTCTAACATTGATGTGCAAATGCTGGTTAGACCAGAAATAACTCTGAAAGAATCTTTAAAGAAAAGAGACAAAGATGAAAGCAAAATACTTCCATGTTTGGGCAAGACCGAAAAAAATGCTCTTTTATCTTGTCTGTCTTATGTTGACTGCACATCAATATATATTATGGTCTTCAGAGCACACTTCACCACATTAACATATATACCATCTCCTTGGTGCACACTCCATTAGTTCGTGTTCACCAGCAATTTTTTCAAAGCTTAGGAATATTTGTTTTCGAGTATAAAATTGTCAATTGTTTGCAATCTTTTATCTTGTCGAAAGGGATTGGATGCTTCGCAAGTCATGAGAAGGGGCGAGAGTGTTGCTGCTCGTCTCGAAAGACCTGACATCAGTAAGGAAGGTATGTCTCGTGTTGAACTGAAACATGTGCATGCCATTCTTGGGTGCAATAACTAAATTTGTGGAACTGAAATTATTTATAAGTAAAAGTCTAGTGCTATAGCTCCTTAGTTTCTTTGTTTATGAATTGAAAATGAAATATAGTGCTGCCACTTCGTAGTTCTTTGCTTATGAATATAGTGCTGCAGCTCCTTAGTTTCTTTGATAATTTCCTAAGGTCTATGATTATGTAAGGATGGCTGGCTATCAATCAACCACGAATAGAATTTGTGTAAAACGAGGACTAAGAATAAGTAATCCATAATGCTACAATAAGCTTGTTTCTGACCGTCTCCATGGTTATTTCTAAATTACTGCTCTGCTGTTTTTCGTATTTTTTGCTCAATTAACACTAAAAGTTCTCATTTTCCAACTGTTGCATATGCATTTCTCATCCTAAATATGAACTATTTGTTACCACTGGCTATATATACAGTTATGGTTTGTTAGTACGCATTTTAATCCGTAAGTTGATGTTTCATTGCAGCCAGAGAGAGGATTACTGTTATGCTGTTTTCTTTTCTTTTTCTTTTTTTTTGTTTCAGTTAACACTAGAAGCTGCATCATGATCATGTTCTTACTGTTGCTTATACATTTTTACATTTTAAGTATGAATTCTTTGGTAGCACTGTGTGTGTGTGTGTATATATATTTATATATATATATATTTTTAGTTACGGTTTGTTAGTATGGATTAACTTTTAATCCGTAAGTTATTATTAATTGCAGGAAGGATTAATGAAAACACACGACAAAGGGATGGGTGAGTATTTTATCTTTCAGTTAATGTATGCACCTTTAGCTTTATTGCTTTTAATCTTTTCAGTAATTTACTGAAAATATATTTTTGAAATACCTTGTCCTTGATTATTTTTGCAATAACACTGATGGTTTACATGCATGCTTCTTTCCAATGATTTATGTTTTTGGTTGTTTTTTCAAAATAAATCGAAGAAGAGCTCTACTCGAAATTGAAAGAGATCCACTCATCAATACTCCTTCAAAAATGGTTCCGAATGATCCCAAACAATGGCACACACAGGTTGTAGATTACTTGCAAAAGATAAAACTTTTCATTTGCTGTTTCAGTTTCGAATATTAGTTTAGAAATGACCGAGCGTACTTTTTGTGTCACAGATTTTTTAGGTCCATAGATTCTGAATCTGTAGAAGGATTTCCTATGAATATCCGTGGAGCTGAGGAACAAGTATTAATCCTGAACCTTAATCAGTAATTACATGTTTTATATGGCCTATAGTTTAATCACAATGAAATTACGTGTTAAATAGTTTCTTTATTTCAGAACCTAGAATGGACAAGAAACGTTGCCATAGACAAGAGCATCAACATGGCACATATCCAGACAATAAGGCCTGCCGAACATTTCATATACATCGAGAACAAATACTTCATTGGTAGGTTGCTCCTCAAGATTTTTGTATATACCTGATAGCTTTAAACCTTAAAGTCTGTAGCAATAGGAACTTATGTACTTTATGTTGCGGTAGATATGTGGGAGAATGTTAATAATAATCCATGCTGCAAGTGTTTAGTATTCCTTAAAAAGTTAAAATCTCATTTTGCTTGCTTTGCACATTTTAAACTTCACTCTCATTCTTCATCTTTGAAAGAGAATTAAAACCGTCTTCTTTATTTTACGATATTCAGATATATGAAAACCGCAAGTGTTTCCCTTTGGGCAGAGCATGTGGCAACCATCGAGGATTGGTTTGAAAACATCGAAAATATGGTGTGCTTGAGTTATGTTAATCGCATGGCCGAAGATAATTGGAAAAGATACACAAATAAGCCATTCACTCCATTACAAGGCCATATCTTGAAATACCCGGCCCATTGGAGAATTGACGTTGATGGTAATGTAAAACCAATGTTGGGGCACGACGTAGCAAACCAACTCCTCAAGGTCCATCATGTCCCTTATGTTGATCAAGTGGAATGTAAAACCAATGTCGGGGCACGGCGTAGCAAACCAACTCCTCAAGGTCCGTCATGTCCCTTCTATTGATCAAGTGGCCCATGTGCTCACTAAGCCACTCTCACTCCAATTTCCATGAATGGCGATCCAATTACGAAGGTGCCGATCAAGAACCCTTGAAGACCGACCACCGACCACTGACAACGCATTTAATGCGGATAAGATATATGTCCATCGTACTGTCGAAATCGAGATAATTAGGTTTGGGACCCACCCTGTTGAGTTGCACATCTTTGTCAGATAGCATTAAATGACAACGTGCAGGCATCGTGAATCGGGACTATTCTACACTATAAATACCCCTCATTTATTGTAAAAACGACATATTCGATTACTCTCTCTCTCTACAAATAACTCCCAAGCTGTACTAAGAATCCTGAATTGTTTATCATATAAAATCCAGGTCATCCGACCTCATTTGATATCTATCAAATCTTTATTTAGGAGATTTTCCTAAATCGTTATTTTGCATACCAAGTATTAATGTGGAAAAAATTATATGAGCATCTCACAACACGGATTACAAATTAATTATTTATATGTTTCTAGAATATTATGTGGGATTTATATATTTTAATTTGATAATGATAAATATAGTTAAAACTAGTATTAATACTCAGGCCATGTACAACATGAGCGTTGAGTTAATGAATACTAGTACAACGCCCGTGTATTACATGGGTGCTTGCTAATTTTTTCCTTAAAATCTAAATTAATGAGAAAAAATAGGTGAAAATTTAAATATTTTTATAAAAACATATATATATATATATATATATTATAATATTTTTAGTATGACACTTGTTTTGTGTGACTTACTTGTGTTATATTATAATAATTTTTTTAACTTACAACATATAACTACATTAAACATAAATATATCAACTGAGTAATAATTTTATTTTTCTAATAAACTTTAATAAATATTATTATTTTTTATTATTATAAAGATGATATTAATTTATTTATTTTATATATACAATATGGATGTCAAATCGAAGATCATGAAAAGATGATTAATTTGATATATTATATATGTAAAACCGATAAGAAATACAAAAGTTGTCAACTTTTAAAATACATTTATAATTCAATAGCTAATTGAAGGAAACAAATCAAAAGTCAGGGATATTTTAGTCACTTAGTATCTCACTATGTAAAATTATAAGAAATTAAAGGGTTATATTAGTACAAGTGATATTAAAATACCTAAGTTAGCTAAATAATATTTATGGAATATCCGAACCTAGATTATTAATTATTAATATATCAATATTATTTGTCCAAACTTAATTACGAAGCATGATTTTTCGCCAAGTAGGATTCCGAAGCACCAGAAGCAGCCACGTAGGCTCAGCGCATTCGAGAATCTATTAATATATAATAAGGATTAAATAGTTCACTTTTAGAAACTCTTTCCCACCAATTTCATTAATTATTGCCTAAAGATAGTAAATTAACAAAATTGCCTAAAATCACTATTAGTATTGTTTTAACAATTCGGCCTAATAAATAGCGAGCATTAATTGCAATAGATACTATGGAATAAATTATTTTTTATGGATTCCCGCCATTGCATTAATTTTTGCATAATTCGGACTCAAATTTTTTTCTTTTTTTTTTCACAATTCGGACTCTTTATTAGCATATTTATTTTTTCGATTTTTTTTAGAAATACAATAAAAAAATATGGAATCAAAATCCAAATAAATCTCCTCTTTTTGTGGCTGCATATAAATCTCCTCTTTGAAAGCAGCATATCCTGTGTTTAATAAGGTGTCTGCCAAAAAAAAAAAAGATTAATTAAAGCTGATCCATAATTATCATCAATCACTTTTGGTTAAAATCTTACCAATATCTTTCTATTTAAATAATTTTCATCAATCACTTTCGGTCAATACCAACGTGCTAAAAAGAAGTTGTATAAAAGGATATCCACTACCACCATTATTTCTTCACGTCATTCACAGCGTTCAGAGAAAAAAATACAGAGATAAATTTCAGAACACATCGATAATATAATGCCGCCAGTCTGGGATACACTCGATTCCGTGAGTAGGACAAACAAACCTTATTTACGTTTGATAACAGTCCGAATAATTGAAACGCATCACGAACGGGAGAGCTGGAACGCATTCCATATATTGTTTCATGATGAACAGGTAAATATTTTTCATTTGTAATATCAAATTTATATAATTTGAAATATATTTTAATTAATATTTATAAATTTATACATTCTACAAATATGAGAGCATTTCGAGGTGTACTGAACGAAGGCGAGGTGTATGCAATCAGCAACTATGTGGATTGTTAGCATTGGAGATGGGACTGTAGGAGGATCAAATGACAGTTGTGCCGCGATTGACATTCCAAAGGATATACGATTGGAAACCCCATATGATCTAATTGCTAAAATCGTCGAAAGTACCTATCCAATGTTCAAAAATACAACTGACGTTCCAAGTTATTTGAAGGACAGAACTATATTAGCGTCTACTTTGGAGGTCGTTAAGTCTATCAATCAATACATGTCGGATATGAATTATGCTGAAGGTCGTACATATTTGAGCTCTGACAGTACGTCTTAGTCGGATTCCGGCAATGGCTTTTTGGCTGATCTCCACACACCCGAGTTCTTGAATAGTATTAAGTGTTCGGGAACGTCGAACCATGAGTTGCATTTGAAGATAGGAACTCCGGTCATGTTGTTGCGAAACATGGACCATTCTATGGGGTCTATGTAATGGCACACGTTTGGTTGTTACGAAGCTCTCTCCGCATGTTCTTGAATGTAGGATATTGACAGGAGATCACGCAGGTGAGAAGGTGTTGAATCCTCGGATGAACATAACTCCTTCTGATGTTAGGGTTCCATTTAAGTTCCAGCGGAGGCAATTTCCTCTTATGGTTTTCTGTGTCATGACCATAAACAAGAGTCAGAGTTAGTCTTTATCACATGCAGGACTGTTCTTGAAAAAACTTGTTTTTAGTCATGACCAGTTATACGTCGTTGTTTCACGTGTTACTAATCGGAAGGAGTTGAAAATATTAGTTTGTAGGAACGATTAGTTACCCAGTCATCAAACTAATAACTTTGTATATAAGGAGATTTTAATAATGTATAATTTTTTACAAATGACGAATTTATGTCTACTTTATGAATGACATACGTATTATAATAATTTATTAATTAATGAACTTTTAATTTTTCCCAAAACATGTACTAGCCGTGCATCGCACGGGTTACATACTAGTTATGTATAGGGAGGATATTTATAAAGTTATTTATGTCTAATACCAAACCTAACTCCAGAGCAAAAATAATATAAAAACAACATCACGAAGCATAAATTTTCGTCATGTCAGCATCCGAAGCATTAGAACCTGCCAAATAGGCTCAACACGTTTTGAATTAATATATAGGGAGGGATAGTTGAAAGGGTAACTCTGTCATTTGAGTGAAATGCAGTCCCAAATCTTGAGCCCCAATTTAATTTGGGCATTACTATTCACCGCCCCCCTTATTACTAGTCACCGCCCCCCTTGGACATTTTTGCCCTTTATTACTATCTCTCTCTACTCTATCTCTCTACTTTTTTTTTCTTTCGATTTTCTACGGCTCTTTTGACCGTCAAAAAAATTTCAAAAAAATACCAAAAAAATACTATGACATCGACAAGACATTAAAGATTAACCATGTATTTTTTTTTTTATATTTTTTTACTTTATAAA